TAAATGTTTATCCTAATTTATGATATAATTAAGTACAACTACAAGATAATTATGGGACGAAGGTCAAAACTCACATTCGAATCAGTCAAAGTATATGTTTACTTGAAGGGTTTAGTTAGAAAAGATAAAACAATTCGTTTTGCACGAAGTCCCAATTCTCCATCTGGCCAAGGAATACATCCTTGAAGAAGAAGTAGCACAAATGATCTCACCCGGAATGACCGAAGTAGATGAGGTGAATTCATGAAAGTCATAGACTCAAACCAAAAAATTTCGAATTAAATAAACTCCGATTTGAAGACAACCACAATTTTGTCAATTAACAAAAAAGGTATGTTCAGTTTTGTCGCAGCTTCAGTCCGAAATCCGTCACAAATAATATTTACCGACAAACTTCAATGGATTTAAAGGTGTCGGAAGTATAGTTTTCTAGTAGCGTCGGTCAATATTATAGGTATTTGAGGGGTACGGTTGGGCCTAAGAGTTGAAGTGGGCTGATCCATAACAAATAAAAAATATCTATTTAAATTGCATTACACAATCCTTGTTGTAGGGTGTTTTTATTTTCAAAGCGGATCAAGTTTTAGTTGTTAATTTCCTTAAAGGTAATTTTCACTGTAAAATAATTATACATGCATGCATGCTTTCTAGCTAACTGTTTCAACATTACATAGTGTTAAACAACGGATATGTGCATGAGGAAACATAAAGCTTATTCAAATGTAAAATAGATTGAAATATTTATATTATATTTAATTACATGTATACATAAATATTGGTACAATCATACAAAACCATAGGTTTGCAGTTGGTTACAAACAAAGAAGCTGGAATCAAATCGAACACACACTTAACACACATACGAAAAATAGTTAAAAGAAACTTCTGCAGCTAATTAATAGTGCAACTTCTTTATTATCATGTATTATCTACATAGCATCAAGAACCATGAACACCAGGATTTATCTTATTCTTATTCTTGATACAACTTTTTGCTGTCGATGCAATCGTCTTAACCATCATAGTTGACACATGCTTCTTCTTTGCTGGGATCACAGTGGCCTTTGATGTCTGTCCACCACTCATGCTTGACCCATACTTCTGTTGCTGGTTATCACCCATCAGATTCTCCTATTGTTTGATAGTTTTTCCAGCCTCTAAATATACTTATAATGATTAAAAGTTTGTGATGAGAAATAAGAGTACTAATCAGGTCTATTATATAGTGTTCCAGGAGGATAATTCCCACAACCTCCATTTCCGTGTGTGCCTGCATGGCAATGTGTGGGAACTTAATTAGGAATATACTTGAAATTTATTTGTTGCGTGAGATGTGGCTTGGTGTGTGTAAGTGTGTGATACATCATAGCAATAGTATTTTCTTTGAAGATGAATTGAAGTTTTGAGCAGATTTACAAGGTTTCATTATGATGATGATGATGATGATTAGTATCCTTTTTATTGAAATTTTGGTTAGTCTTCTTCGTTATTTTCCAAGACTTCTATTAGGACCAATTATAAAACAAAAGTTCTAAGCAAATACTTTGCAAAATATCAGACAATGTATTAGGTATTCTCCACAATTTAATATATTTCAAATACATGCTAAAAGGGGCCAACAAATACAAAATAATAATAATAATAATAATAATAATAATAATAATAATAATTATAATAAGATGTGGAATATGCATAAAGAGTTGCATTGTGGCACTAGTATCCAGCACCAGAAACTACTAAACCCCTCCGACCTAGAAACTACTAAACCCTTCCGACCTAGAGGTGGGCAAACTTACTTTTAAATTTAGTCTGGATCCAATACCTACTTCTACTCCTTTCACACTGTGACGCCGGCTTCCATTTTGAAACTATGGTGCCGGCTTCCATTTTGAAACTATGCTGTGTTTTTTTGAGTCACTGATGGGTGTAAAAAAATATTGGGATCCTTTAAATATTGTAGGATAAGGTAAATTAATGTTTATCATAATTCTATTATAGTAAATGAAGAGGCTTTTTTGCCATATCTTATATTTTCATTAAATTTGGCAAATATCATTTTTTGGTTATTTTAAGTTAATTTTTTTTCCAAATATCATTTTATGAGTTTTTTTATTTTATTAATTTCGATATGATATTTTAATATAATAATTATAATAAATATAATCTTAATTTGATATCAATTTCATTAATGGACTTATCATTTAATTTTAAAAAATCTTAAATTAAAGCTCATTAATTTCTTTTGTTTATTTATTTAAATTATTTGTTAAAGTTTAAAATATATAAAAAAAAAAAAACATTTTAATTTTAATAATTTATTATTTTTCTTATTTTCTTATAAATTTAAAGTTCTTAAATATTTAGACTTTTATATCTATTTTTTTTAAACTAACCAATGTAATACATATGTCTCACAACTAATTTATGATATAAATACAACTACAAGATAATATTGGGACAAATGTCAGAAACCACCATCGAATCAGTCAAAGTATGTGTTTGCTTGAAGTGTTTCGAAAGGATAAAACAGTTTGTTTTGCACGAAGTCCCATTTCACCACCCGAACAAAGAATACATCCTTGAATAAGAAGTAGCACAAGGGATCTCACCCGGAATGACCGAAGTAGATGAAGTGAATTCATGAAAGTCTTCGACTCAAACCAAAACATTTCGAATTCAATAAAATCCGATTTGAAGACTACTGACTATTCTACCAATTAACAAAAATGATATTTTCAATTTTGTCGTAGCTTCAATCCGAAATATGTCGCAAATAATATTTACTGACATACTTCAATGGATTTAAAGGTGTCGGAAGTATAATTTTCTAATATTATGGGTATTTGAGGGGTACGGTTGGGCCTAAGAGTTGAAGTGGGCTGATGCGTAAGAAATAAAAAATATCTATTTAAATTGTGTTACATGATAAAAATATTGCCAAATATATTTATTGTTTAGCACAAAATAGTAGGTCACATGAAAAATATATATATACATGCTCCGTTAGGTAATAAATGATTGCTTTGTTGTACCAAGTTCAAATTGTCGATTGATATTAAGACCTGGTAAAATTTCATTGATCGTCATTTTAACATAAACCTTAATTAACAAACCTCCTTCCTAACCTAACAGCTTTTTCCAGAGTTGTACTTATGGATGGGAACGAAAGGATTTGGAGGTGATGTGAGGGATGTGGATGGAAAATCTTGTTCCCGAGTTTAAATTATGAAAGGAAAGTGAGGGGAGGGGAGGTATTTTGAAGCCTCATTTTCCTTCCAAAATTTCCTCCCAATTTGGGCGGATTCAGGAAGAAACTTGGAAGTATACGTACATTATAAATATTACGGACCATTATACCCTCAATCCTATTTATAAAATCAAGTAGCCGCATAATAAATACCTCCTTACAGAAACGATTTCGTCTTGATCAAGTTCTCTACAGTCGTCCCTGTTAGCTAATTTGTACCTCTGACAGGTATGTCTTCCATATCCTCTTGTACAATCTTCTTGTTCAATTTCTCCATCTAATCATCTTCTCTATGCATGAAACCAATGAATATGAAAAATTTACACGAATATGCATGACTTCAATGTGTTCTGATGCTTCCCTTGTCATCTTTTTTTGTTGTTTTTTGTTGATTCATGAATCACATAATATCTAAAGACCCGAATAACCCCATTTTTTGTTGTTTTTTTGTTGATTCATGAATCACATTATATCTAAACACCCGAATAACCCCATGGTATTGGTAAAATTGTTTTTGTAGATCTTGTTTTTACCTACGTGTAGATATAAAGAACATCGAAAACGGAGCTCCTATGTGAGAGTTATGATTTTTCTTAGTCAGGAGGGTGTTGTGCGAGTTTGGGTGACGTGGCGCGATCACAACCATTGCTTTCTCCCCAATAAAATCCATCAGATGATGACACATGGCACAGACTTGGTGAGTCAGTGACCCAACTCGGCGAGTCCAGCTACCTGGCAGCCTATAAATAGAAGTGTTGGGTTCCCTCATTCTTCACACCATTCCTACCTCTTCTCTTTCTCTCTCTAACCTCTCTCTCTAGCCCCAAACCCCCCCCCCCCCGGCCCCAAGCCTAGGTAAACCCCCTAGCACCCGAAGGAAGCCCCGAGAACAGAGCCTTTCGGCTCGAGAACGCTGCTCTGGCGAAGCACGGTTTTCGAGAAAACTCGCTGTAAGTGAGCTACGCCTAACCTATCTTTAGTATAGCTTATGTTTCAATATAGTAATGTTATTAGGAACTCATAATGAGTATCCGGGATATTATTATGAGTTATATAAGTGTCGTTATAATATCTTTTTAAGCACTCATGGTACGGGAAATCTGGTTTAAAGGGTCGAATAGTGTTGTTGGATTTCAGAAGTGCTATAGCTTATATGCCAAAATGGTCCTGCCCTCCGGTGTTTTATGTCTTGCCCCTGTCTTTATATAGTGGTTGAGAAATATTGTTTCGTGCTTATATAATAGTAATAATAGCAAGACTCTTAATTAGTCTCGGTGAATATTAGACTAAACTCTAGTGGTGAATATTAAACATAATAATTATATTATTGTGGCATGTTGTATCTTACACAATTTTTTACTAGACGAAGACTGTGATAAAAAAAATTGAATATGAAGTCTTACAAGAGGTGTTGGATGAACAACCATAACAAGTGAGAGATGATGTTAATAACGGACATGTGCGTAGTGATTGGGCTGAGGAATCGAGGAACGCTATTACAACTCAAATGTAGAACGATTACTTGTTGATACCAAACAATGAAATAGATATGTCTAATTAGTTTTATTGTACATCAACAATTTGTCAGTTTTAGTTCATTCTGTTAATTTAGTTTACTTTTGTAGTGACATTTGCAATTTATTTTATTGATGTTGTTATTTAAATTATGAGCCCTCTCTTTTTTTATAAATCTTTGTACAATTTTTTAACAATGTATTTCTCGTTATGTTATCTTTATATGTACATAACGATCATGACCAAAAGGGTAGCTGATGGAGGTGTCGTGAAAAAAGAAAATTTGTCATGGACAGATCATATGGATAATGTTCTCTTTGAATATTTGGTAAAGGAAGATCAAATAGGTAATCGGGTGAATGGTACATTGACTTTGCAAGCATATGCGAACATGATTGCAACGATGAATAAACAGTTTAACAAGTCTATTACAAAAGGTAAAATAAAAAACAGAATGAAAACATTTAAAGGTAATTTTAGTAAATGTTATGATATGTATTGGGGTACTTTGTTGAGTGGATTCTCATGGAATTCTCAAACAATTAAAATACATTGAAGTAGAGGAGGAAATATGGGAACAATTACTTAATGTACATGTTGGTTTTACGTTTAATATATTGTTTTATATAACTTTTTTACCAATAACTTTACTAATTAATTTTTGGGTTTGTTTATAAACAGGCAAACCCTAACGCAACTGCATTCAGGACAAAAAAATTTCAAACTACAATCAGTTGGTGATGTTATTTTCAAATGATAGAGCATCGGGATCAAAAGCGGAAACAACAAAAGAAAAAAACGCCCAGTTAAGACAATCCACAAAAATTAAAATAGAAAAATTGCTGATGTGGATGAACTAATAGCAAATAAGGAGGTAATTTTGGAGAACGAAAGCAAAGATGATGATGAGGACATTCAAATAGTGTCAGCAATGGATGTTTCACCCGATGGGATTTCTAAAGCCAAGAAGCTGAAGAGTAAAAAAAGAACACTAGAAC